TGGCAATTGCTTCCTGCCCAGCTTACGTTAGCAGAGAAAGAGAAAGCAAATGATGATTAGTCGTATGTCTGCACTCAAAGATAAAACCCCCGAGCAGAAGCCATCTGCCGAGGCATAAAATAATAATTCTGGCGCTAGCCCTGTCTGAGAGCAAGGCCATCAGCTCTGCCTGAAACACAACGCGGCACAGGCCTAATGCTGAGCTCTAGCAGGTGGCCCATAACCCTGTAATAAACTCCCTGACATTATTGATTTCCCCCCCCCCCAGAGACTGAGCCCTTTTGTCTAACCACATTAACTTCTGCTTACTGAGCAGCTGCACGTGAGGCAGCGAGCACATAAACAGCAGCTCGTTTGGGTGAGCAATCACCGCGCCGAACGTGCCCCCTGAGCCTGTCCCTGCTCGCTGGGATCTGCTCAGATGGGTTATTTCAGAAGTCAAAACCAGCACTTGTTAGCTCTGGGCACTTCTAGCGAGATTTCTATCTTTACTTGGGGAAAACTGAAATATGCCTCCACTGCTAACTGTGCAGATGAAGAGCCCTGAAATAGGACCCAGGCACGCTGTTCCCATTGCAAACCTTCAGCCAAATCTGCCCTGCCCATGCGTGAGCTCCAAAAGCATGTGGCCAGCACAGCAGCCTTTTTGCCTGTGCTTTGATGTTTGGAGGTGCATCTCATGCTGCCAAAAATCCTTCTCTCTTGGCCAACCACCCAGCCAGTGTGAGCTGTGTGCTTTTCTGAGGGCTGTGCAGAGGCACCCGAGCTGGGATTCCTGGCCATCCCTTGATCAGGTCCTGCAGAGGTTGGTGGAAAGGGGCATCGCTCAGAGGGGAAGGTTTGACCCTTTGCAGTCCAAACCAAGCTGAAGCTGAGTTCCCAAGGCGTTATCTGTATTTCTCTGTGGATTTGGAAGCAGCGCTCCTGCTTGAGACAAGCTGTGCTCTGAAAGGGATCTGGCAGTGACATTCCCTCTCAAATGTCTGGCTATCAGCTTTAAGAGCAATAAGCTTTACATACAGCCTGGAACATCATTACTGTCTAAATGAGACAGAGGTTTTTTAAAGTACTTTTCTGTTCAGGCATCACATTTTCATCTGTGCATGGACAAGAAGCCATCTATGGAGGGTGAATGATGATGGGTCTGAAGAAGAGCGTGTCCCTGGGGCTCCCTGTGTAATCAGGGTCCCTGCTGGCAGGGCAGGTTTTGGTGGCTTGTTTGGAAGAAGGGGCTGATTGCTGCTGTGGGCAGTGCAGGGAGTCAGTACCAAGCCCTGCTGTCCCATGTAAGGAGGAGGAGGAGAAGGAGGGCAGCCTCAAGGAGCAGAATGTGTGCTTTAAGCTAAGCTCAAAGGCAGAAGGTGTCCAGCATCCAACCTTCACCTCTCTGGTGTGTGCTGGGGGCACCCCTCACACCACAGCACAAGTGCCCACTCCAGCCCAGAGCCCTCGTGTAGGGTCTGGATGCCACAGGCAGCAAAGTGCCACCGGCAGCGATGAGTCAGAGCCCGCCTGGAGAGGGGGTGGCTCGTGTTTGTGTTGGCAAAACCAGCGGCGAGTGGCGGCGGGCCCAGGGAGCACGAGAGGCTGAGGCTGGAAGGGCCCCTGTGCCGAGGCAGAGATCAATGGGAAAGGGAGGTTTAACATCGCAGGGTGACGGTTCCTGCCAAGAGCCTTCCACAATAAAACCAGCAAATCAATCCGCCGTCCGCTGAGTAACTGCAGATGAGGATTGCTAGCAAATATGATCAACAGTTTGCTGCTCATTTAACAGTGGCTTAAGGAAAAAAAAGCAATGAATACAATTATAGTTTTCTGTGCAGCAGAGAGTCCTGTTTCCCTCCTCAATTAAAAGGGGTCACACCAAACACTGGGTCAGTACTTGGCACAGCAGAGGAGGGCAGGGACAACCCACAGAAGCTTGGCAAGAATAAGAAAAAAGGCAAAGAAATTACAATTTACAAAATAAATTCAACAACAGTTAGGACCCTGGGCATCCTAGGAGGGCTTTTCAGACTGGTGTGTAGTGGTGGATGGACATCTGTGGAGCACAGGCTGGTCAGAGATTGCATGTCCCCACTGCTGGGAGCAGACCCAGCATGTTGTCGTTGTGCCATCAGGGCTCAGGTTTGCCCATCTGAGGTCCAGAGAAGCTCATCCCAGCTCCTCATCCAGCAGACTCAGTTCAACATCTTAATCAGAAAGGGAGATTTGGGTGTAGTGGTGGGGTTCCTTCTGAGGCTGGATCTCATTTGGGAAGATCTTTATCACATCACTATCTGACATGGATGAGAGAAGATAAGCCATAAATTTGGTTTTTGTAATAGGATTGTTCACAGAAATGGAGTATGAGGGTTACTTTATTGCTTCTATTAAAGAAAAAGTGCTCAGTGCTTTATAAACAAGGAGGAAAAGAAAAACTGTGCTCAGGGACCTTGACAGAGACCCTGATTCACAGCTGGCATTAGCTGGTGGTGTTCTGGAGTCCCCAGTCAGATCCACTGAGGTCAGTGGAGTTCAACTGAGTTAAACCAGGCAAGCAAACAGCCCTCAGTGAAACTGAGGAGACAGTTTCATCAGGCAGAGCTTGGCTGTCCATGCTGGGACAACCAGAGTCCTTGCTGTCCCTGAGCCAGCCCAGGGTAGCCTGTGGTGTCCCTCCTGGATGTGCTCCTCAGGTTGGGTAACGGCATGGCTGGGATGTCCTGGCAGGGACAGGGCAGCTGTCAAGGGTTGCTCAGAGCCCTCACTGCCTCCTCTGCCCTCAGGAGCTGAGCTGCCTGCATTCACAGGGAGATTTATGGCAGTGTTTTCCTCTCCCCTGTCTGGATTCAAGTGGCCAAGGGAGTGATCCAGGAACATGATACCTAGGAGCTGAAAGCAGAAAGCTGCAAGTGGGACTTGCCTGTCCCTGGAGAATATCCCTCTGGAGGGAGGAGGACGTAGCTCTGTCTGTCTGATGCAAACCAGTGTCTGATTCTTCAGAGCCCCACTCTGCTCCTCCACAGCTGAAATGTACCCCTGGGCAAGGGATCCTTGGTCTGGCAAGGGAAAAAAAATAAAACAGCATTATTTTTTTCCTGCTTGGAATGGTGGATCCACACTGATGGGTCTCTCACTCAACATGGCCAAAGCTACCAAGGAGGTGGCTTTCTGGCACCAGGAGAGGAGATGGAGGCTGCAAGACCCATCAGATAAGGGGGTAAAACAGCCCCACAAGGCTCAAGATAGCAGGGGACAATCACATCCATGGCAATGCCAAGGATCAAGGGAAAATTTCCTGGCCCTACAGTGGCTTTTGGGGTCATCACAGCAACTTCCCCAGCACCCAGGAATACCTGCACTCCCCAAGACCCACATACAGCTTGTTTCAAAGCTTATCTGTAGTGAGTTTTACAATATAAAGTGTCTTTGTTTAGCCAACAGAACCACTAATACATGTGATTTTGTTGTTAATAGAGCTGTAAGAATTTTAAGTACCTCTTGGGAATGTGTCATTTTTGGTTGGCTTTTTTAGGCATCACAGGGTGCTGCGTTTGTCTTTGTAAACAAGTACTGAATAAAACATTTAGCACACAGCCGCACTTTGTACAAGTGTCATGCAGGTTTCTAAAGTTTCAGGGAGAATAAATCAACTGCAAACTGCTGCCTGGCAGTTGACTTCGCTCCTTATAAATAGCTAATTTGGACAACTTCGCCCTGCACGTCCCATGAAATTCAAATACTGTGCATATCGTTAATGCAGGCACACAAATCAGAGCAGCAACAGCCCCTTTTATAAGCCCAGGGTTGCCACAGAAATGCCACAGCCAAGGGCAGGTCAGCTCCAGGTTGCCCTCCCTTTTTTCCAGAGGCGATCCTGGGAAACACCAGCAGGGCACTGCGCTCTGCTGCCTGGCCCCAAGGGAGGAGCAGGAGCCCCATGGTGGCCCAGTTCACTGCTGGTTATGCTGGTTGGCAGGATCATCACTCAGGGGAGAATTAGGTGCAAACTCAGCCATGAAAACCAGCCCTGGTTTAATACACCCAAGGGAGGAAAATAAGAACTGACTGTGCCTTGCTCTGTCGCCTTTGCAGCACCAGGTGCTGGGCACAGGGTGGAATCACACCCTTCCCTCCTCCCCAGGCACAGCACTGCTGCTCCAGCCCTGCAGAACCCCCATGTGGGATGCAAACTTACCTGATCCTCCCAGGAGGCTCTTAGCAACACGCAGGGTCCACCCAGGCTGGCCCAGAACTCAGCCCAGAGGCTCTAATCCTGCAAGGCGCTGAGCAACTCGGACTTCTGCCACTCATCTCTGGATTTTGGCACACGTTCAGCAGGAGCAGGATCAGCCCCTTGCTGTAATAATCAGGGAATGAGGAACTCAGCTTGACTGAGTTTCCCTCCCACCCCCCAATGCAAAAATGCTGTACATTCCTTTATGCAGGTTTCCATAGTGTTGAACTTCTACTATTTTTTTGTTGTTGCTGTTAAAGGGGTCAGCAATGCACTGTACAATGGGATCTGGCTGTCAGGAAATGTAGAGGAATTCAGGGACACTTTTAACATCTTCCTGGTGGGGCTGGAGGGCAGCATTAAACCTGGCATCCTGGAAATCTCCCCACCAAGGAAGAAAAAAGCCCGGAGGAGCCCCGGGAGAAGTTTTGAAGACATTCTGCTTTGTCAATCCTACGTTTAAATAAGTTATTTCTTCCCCTACTTCCTCTGTTAAAATATGATGTTTTGGCTTTAATTGCTTCAATCCTATTACTTGTTCCTTTCAGCAAGTGATTGTGCAGCCCCTCGCCGTGGGGAAATCCCCTGACCGCGGGTCCGTGTTATTTAGACAAGTCCCCTTTCAGAAGTAAATGCCATTCTTAGCATAGGGAAGTACTTTAGGTCTAAAGGGGTTAAGAAGGCCTCCCTGCATTCAGAAACATGCAGGGGTCCCACCATGCCAGTTCCAGCCTTTTGAACTCTTTCCAGCTTTTTTTTCTTGCAACAAATCTGTCTGACTGCCACCAGGACATAGGAAGCGTGTGCCTGTCAAAGAAATCAAGTTTACTTTTTCTGACTTGTTAACAGAGGCAGGGTATAAATAGAGCTAACTCTGCTCAGACTAGTAGCGTTTCTCTTAAAATAAGGGGATAACTTCCTAGGACCTTTAATCCAATGAGGTCCAGACCAAACTGCACTATCGACAGAGGCAGCAGAGGAGCTCGCTGAAGCTTTCACCGAGGTCAGGTGCATCTGGGTTCCTCAAAAATTTAAGGCTTGCCAAAAAAAAAAAAAAGCAACCCCAAGCAAGCAAGAACTACTTCCAGCTCGGACACTGCCACTGCCCTGGAGAAGTTCTGAGATGTTGTTGGTGCTGTTCACTCGGTGGATGTGGATCTTGCTGGGGAAGAGCAGTGTCCTCTTGCTTCTGGAGGTCTCTCTGAAAGGGAGAGCTCTGCCCCCAATCCGGTATTCCCACGCTGGGATATGCCCCAATGACATGAACCCCAACCTGTGGGTCGACGCGCAGAGCACTTGCAAGCGAGAGTGCGACGCTGACCTGGTGAGTGATGCGCATCTTCGTGTCTCTGCGTCACGGGCGGTGAGGGGGCTTGGCTGGGGGCTCGTTTGTGTCTGTCCCACCAGAAGGGCGCTGGCACCGTGCAGGACTCGGTGCAGACAGTGCATGTGTTTCACTGACCTGTGACCTACATAAAATAGGAAAGGTCTGATGAGTTGCTGTTAAGCAGGGAGGTGTGTGGCAGTTGTCACTTATGCTGATGTGGGCACAGGGCTCGCTCTGTTTGATCCTTTTCCTCGCTTTCATGTCGAAAGAACCGTCTGAATTTGATACTCCAGCACTCAGCATGCACTGGGGCCAGTCTGTAGAATTTTAGCAGTGTCACCGCGCTCTTTGTTGTTGGTGGCCATCGTCAATGTTTTATGTTCCTGGGAGGAATCCTGTATGAAATTGTTTGATTTAACGTGTAAATCATCAGCCTTTGCTGCACTTGAAGCACAAAGGGTGCTTGGGGTGCAGAACAGGGCATGGCTAAAATGACCAGGCAGATGTTCTGTGGGATGCTCCCAGCTTAAAATGTGTTTAGCTTACAACCCCAAAATTCATTTTTCAACCTGTCAGCACTGCCAGCTCAAGCTGGCATCTGAAAATACCTGCTTGTCCTGCCTCTTACATCATGTCCCACAACAAAGCTCCTGCAGCCCAAACCTGGCTGACAGGAACATGTACTGTGCTGAGAAAAAGTGTTTGGGTTTGTGCTCTGTAGCCAGGTTGTTTCTGCAATGCTAAAAAGGGTGAAAAAACAGACAAAAATGCTGGTCATAAGTAAACAAAGACATTTGCTCAGATGGATCCCATGTGTTGGGAATGAAGGTGCTCTTTTTACTTCTGCCATTCTCAAATAAGCCTCCTCTGTTCCAACTACCAGGTGCAGCAATGAATACTAAAACACTTGCAAAACCCCAGCAGTAGATGACAATGTTTTAATAATTTACTGGTCAAAAACTGAAATCCAGAAGCCACTGGCTACAAATATTCACTTTGTGGCAGCACAGAGTCCTGGCATCTTGGATGGAGTGAGTGGTCTGCAGGCAGCCACGGACTCTGCCAAGCCACACTCCTTAACCCCAGCTGAAAACCTCACCCATCCTGGTTTCCAGCCTTGCTTCTGAAACCTAGTAATGTGCAGCTGGAAATGGGGAAAGAGTTCTGGTATTAGGTCATCTTTTTCCCAATAAGGAAAGGATACTGGACTCAGGGGAAGCTCTTTGGTTTGGTAGCTTGAAAACCATGTTGTCCTCACTTACAGAGACAGCTGATGGATTTCAGGGGGCTCATAGAGGTTTAAAACACGGTGTGAGTGTGACCTGTTGGGCACATGGTAACAATGCTCATGGTCCCTTAAAGTAATCCATAACGACCCAGCAGCCATGATCACACGTATCAAATACCTTTTCTGCACAGAAGATGAAAATTCTGCTAAAATTAACCACAATTTAGAGCTGACTGTAGCCGAGGCGGGGTGTAATAAATCACTAGAAGAGCGATGCTGCATTTGAAAATAGGACTAAAATAGGACAGAGAAGCCATAATGAGCTGTTTGGGGTTTGTTTTTCTAAATACCATAGAAAAATTATTTTTGGAGCAAGAATTACCTTACTTTTGAGATATTCTATTATTTCCTCTACAATGTGAACAATTACAAATCCTTGGCAGTTTCACCTCCAAGAGCAGGCTGTTAGTCTCAGGGAATTCAAATAATACTTTACATACTTCTGTGGAAAATAAGAAGGATTACTGCCTACAGCCATATGATAAGACTTTCCATCCGCTCTTGTTTCTCAGGACTTGTCCTCAGGCATTTGGGAGAGCACGGAAGGGGGGTGGTTGGTTCGGTAGCCAAGCAGTCCATGTGACTCTGGGGTAAAGACTTAGGATGAGGTTTGTGTTTAAGAAACAGAATTACATTTTCCTTCCAGAGAGTCTCCTCCTGAAGCACTTCAGAACCCCCAGTGTGTTTAGACACCTCCTGGGAGATGCTGAGGAGATGTTTTTACTCGTTGCCTGTGGGGACACTGAGTTTTCAGACCACAGGTATCTGTGGCAGACCGTGTCCCCTGAGTTTCTGGGCTGTCTGCTTGCTGGGTCTCCAAAAAGGCCTCTACTTTGTCCCCAGTAACGATGGGGTTGTTCTCCTCCCCACAGGAGTGTGAAACCTTTGAGAAGTGCTGCCCCAATGTCTGTGGAACAAAGAGTTGTGTGGCCGCTCGGTACATGGACGTCAAGGGGAAGAAAGGGCCGGTGGGAATGCCCAAGGAGGCGACCTGTGACCGTTTCATGTGCATCCAGCAAGGCTCAGAGTGTGACATCTGGGACGGGCAGCCCGTCTGCAAGTGCAAGGACAGGTGTGAGAAGGAGCCGAGCTTCACCTGCGCCTCCGACGGGCTCACCTACTACAACAAGTGCTACATGGATGCAGAAGCTTGCATCAAAGGCATCACACTGAACGTGGTCACCTGCAGGTACCATCTCACCTGGCCAAACACCAGCCCTATCCCACCAGAAACAACAGCTCGCCCAACTACTGCCTACTCCGAGACAACGGTGGTCGACATCCTGCCGCCCACGCTCGTGAACAACCCCGTCCATCAGTCCGTCTACGTGGGAGAGACCGTCAGCTTCCTCTGTGACGTTACAGGGAGACCCAAGCCGGAGATCACGTGGGAGAAGCAGGTCGATGGGAAAGACAAAGTCATCATGAGGCCAAATCACGTCAGAGGGAACGTCGTGGTCACCAACATCGCCCAGCTGGTCATTTACAACACGCAGCTGCAGGACGCGGGAATCTACACCTGCACCGCCCAGAACAGCGGTGGCCTCCTCAGGGCCGACTTCCCTTTGTCAGTCATCAAAGGAGAACCCACATCCAAGGAAGCTTCTCAAAACAAAACGCATTTCCCAACCGATGAGTGCCTGAAGCAACCGGACAGCGAAGACTGCGGGGAAGAGCAGACCAGGTGGTACTATGATGCAAAGAAAAACAACTGCTTTACTTTCATCTACGGGAACTGTAACAGCAACCTCAACCACTTTGAGACCTACGAGAGCTGCATGTTAACGTGCATGAACGGCCCCATCAACATCTGCAACCTGCCAGCCCTCCAAGGCCACTGCAAGGCCTACGAGCCCAGGTGGGCCTACAACAGCTTGACAAAGCAGTGCCAGTCCTTCATCTACGGCGGGTGTGGAGGCAACGAGAACAACTTTGAGAGCCGGGAGGCCTGCGAGGAGATGTGCCCCTTCCCGAAGAACACGCACTGCAAGGCCTGCAAGCCCCGCCAGAAGCTGGTGACGAGCTTCTGCAAAAGCGACTTCGTCATCCTGGGCCGCATCACGGAGCTCACCGAAGACCAAGACTCGGGGCACGCCCTGGTGACGGTGGAGGAGATCCTCAAGGACGAAAAAATGGGATTAAAATTCCTGGGGAAGGAACCCCTGGAAATCACGCTCCTGAACATGGACTGGAGCTGCCCGTGCCCCAACATGACCACGGTGGATGGCCAGCTCATCATCATGGGCGACGTCCACAACGGCATGGCCGTGCTGCAGCCAGACAGCTTTGTGGGGACCTCCAGCGTCCGGCGTGTGCGCAAGCTCCGCGAAGTCATCCACAAGAAAACCTGTGAGCTTTTGAAAGAGTTCCTGGGATTGCATTAACCCCCCTCGCACGCGCCAGCCGCCCCGCTCCGTGTGTTACGTAGGGCTTAACGAGAGCTAGGCTAGTGCACAAACGAAGCGCGCTGTTCGAAGGTACACCGTAGGAATTATGCAGAACCCCTATTTTAATCCATTAATGATGCTTAGCAACAACGTAGTTTGGTCCTTGGCAAGCACGTAAACCAGCAGCAAAAGGCTATTAATCTTGCATTGAAATCAACTCGTCCATATAGGAGTGCCATTTAAATAGGTGACTCACTGCAGTAATTATGCAATTTTTATGTAGCTTCCATCATAAATGACGGAATTCATAGTGTTTGTTTGGCTAGTTGGTACACAGCTAAGTAATATATAATGTCAATTTAATCTGCCTCATTTTCAGTCTGGAAATGCGATGGTATGTCGTTGTAAGTAAGTCACGTGCTTGGCTCCTTATAGCAGCACTAATATTTCAAGAGAAAAGCCTGTAAATTATTGTCTGTATTTACAATTGTGAACATTTAACCAACCTATGCATTATGAGTTTGCTTCTTTTAATTGATATTTTCCTTTCTCTTTTTAAAAACTTCGTTTCAAAATGGCAACTACTACCTATCTTGCAATCCTTTCTGGAGGAAAAACTCCCTTGATCCTATGCCCAGGACAACAGGTCCCTATAGAAGCTCAAGGCACAGTCTCACCCTGAAATGACTTTTCTGTTACCAGAACAAGGTCAGCAAACACTCTCATTCCCTATTTTAGTTTCAATCAATTTATTGCCTATCACAAAAAGTCCAAGGCAGAAGGACAGCAGTGTGGGCTGCCAGCTGTCTTGCTTTTGAAAATGCTTTCCACCTGAGCATACGCAGCAATTTATTGCTTGTTTTCAGTAGAAATCCTGCTTTTATAGATGAGAGAGCAAAGCAAGAGGAGTCAGAACAAAATTCAGCCCAGGAAAGTGCAATACACAGCCTGCAAACTGCATTAGGCAGACACAAGGCTGCTGAATCCGAACTGCACAGACACGGGCAGGCAGAGTGGACACTCTTTAAAGGCTTTTATCAGTGTTACCCTTTTAGAGCCTTTTTAGAGCATTTCAAAACCTCAGAAAACACTTTCTACCAGACCACTGTATATACACGTGTGGATAAATTCCCTGGGAGAGCAGCACGGGCTGTGGGGTGGGAGCGAGTGCATACACATAGGATCGATCATTTTAACCTTTGTGTGCCCAAAAAAATGTAACATTTGCCTGTGCAAAAATCCTTAAATAAAGAAAAGGCTGATCCTGGAAACATCTTGCCTCGCTAAGGACTGTGATTGCAGGGAAGAGGGGCGAGTGTGGCCAGCCTTGTTCTCGCTCTGCGGGCGCAGCCAAGTGACTACGGCAGAGCTCAGAGCTTGCTGCCCTGCACAAAGGGCCAGTTCAGGGCTGGAGCAGTGTCAAGACACGTCTGGGGGAGAGGAAGGAAGGAAAGAAGTTGTAGCAAACGCTGTCCCGTGGTGCCATCTTACGGGATCGCTGCAGGGTGGCCGAGGCTGGTGCCTGGCAATGGGCACATGGTGGCTTTTGCAGGAGCGTGTTGGGGCTGGGTATGGTAAGGGCTGGGGAGGGAGATAAAACAGGCAGATGCTGGGCTTTAGTATGGTGTGCAAGGCTCTAGAGCACCCAAAGCCTGTGCATGTTGGGTGTTTGGTGGGAGGAAAACTAACAGTGAGGGAAATGGCATCGAACAGGAGTCCAGCTCTGGTTGCCATGAAGGCTTTCCATGCCCTGCACCTGCAGCTGAGCCATGGACAGAGACCACAGCAGGAGGGAGAACTGGGATCCTATCCCAGTGGTCTGGGCTTGGGTTTTGTCCAAAATGTTCCCACACCAGGAATGCATCTAAATCTTCTTTCTGTAATTTCAGAAGAAGCAGAGTGGGAGGGAGAGGAGCCTGGATCGCATTTGCTGACCAAGAAAATACCTGCTGGGTTTTTTGTTGTACCTTTCCTCAGTGTATGTGGGGAAAAAAAAAAAAAAGGAAACAAAAAAACCCACTCCAATTAAAGGTCCTTAATGTTTGTGTATGTTCTTGTGAAGACCATTTTCTACAGATGGGAGGTGCTCCAGAGCAGCCAGCACCTCTGCCGGGTCATCCTGGGCTGTGGCAGGCACTGCTGCTCCCATGTCATTTTCCCAGCGAGCTGTAGGAAGTGGCACATTCCTGTTAACACAGAGGCTTCAGAGGATGAAGGTTTAATAGACACAGGGTTTATATGGCTCTTTTTTTTCCCCTAAAAAGTTAAAGGACTTTGCAAGTGTGGGAGTGTTAAAATGACTCGGGAGACACGTAGCCGTTTGTTCCAGAAGAGCTGGGATGCAAATGTAGCTGGGAGCTGAAAGCAGAGCGTTCATTGCTGCTCCAGTCAGCGCAGTGCAGTGCTGAAGCCTGGGCTCTAAAGTGCCCTTTTGGCTTTCTCTCCTGGTGAATCCCCCAGGGAAGGCAGCAGGCACTTAAAATAGTGAGTGTGCAAGTGGTCTGAGGCGCTGAGACCCAGAGCTGAACAAGGCACTACGTGTCTGCCAGCCCCCTTTGGGCAGGCAGGCCTAGAGTGTGAGGGCTTACCTGCACAAGGAGGCACTCTGGGGGCACATTCTGGGTCAGCTTTCCAACACTGGTGCAGTGAGATGGTCGCTGGACAGCCCAGCCCAGCTCCCAGACACAGCACAGCACGCTCGTGTAGCTCCCACCCAAACCCATGGACACGCCCAGCCATGCCAGGAGAGCTGAGCCATCCTGTGAGCCCCTCAGGGGCACAGAGCTGTGCTCCACCACAGCTTCCTGAGCAGAAGGAGCAGTGCCACGAGCATCCCTCGCTTGCTCACTGGGGAAAAAAGCCATCCCTGGCCATGCTGGGAGCACTGCACCTCCCCGTGGCACGGGACTGACCTTAACCCCACCTTCTCCACCTTCTGACCTTGAAGAATTCAGCTCTCCACTCACAGCTAGTATTTTAGTTCAGCCTCTTATTAAACCCTTAAGAAGCCTAAAATTCAAGCCTGACCAGTCTGGCAGCCCGGGGATGCTGGTGCACGGGACTGGCACTGGAGGATGTTGCTCTGGCCTTCACAGGGATAATGGGCACGTGCACGTGGCTCCTGGTCAGAAAATCCCTTCTGTGTTGCTCACAAGCTGAGGTTCCATCCTGCTCTCTGGGGTCCCTCTCTCAGGCTGTCAGAAAGCTGGAAGGAAGTGCCAGTATTTAAAGTTCGTATAAAATGTATGACAGGAGAGAGAGAGAGAGAAAGGGAAAAGCCTGCTTGATTCCTTTCCCTGCAAGCCAGCAGGCTGGGGAGGAGCACCAGTGCCTGTGCGAGGCTCCAGGGAAGAGCTGGAGGAAGGATGCCACCTGCAAAGCCCCACGGCCATGGCCAGTGGCTGATGTCAAACCTTTCCTCTGCGTGTGGACACCAGAAAAGCAGCATTTCCCACAGACACCATAGAACCTAAGGTTGGAAAACACCTCTAAGATCATCGAGCCCAACAGGCAACGCTGCATCAGGGCAGCAGACCCACATTAGCTGGGTCTGAGACCTGCTGGAGCTCCCAAGGGCGTTGGGACGGATCTGAGGGACACCCGGCTCAACGTGCCCACCTCCCAGTCTGGATGGGACGAGGGTGGAAAGTGTGACCCGTGAAACTGCGAACCCCACGGCTCGGCGGGCACCGCCTGGCACAGGGATCTGATCAGGAGCCCCGGTGGTTGCGCAAACCGGCGGGGCAGCCCCGTTCTGCTGACAGGAGACAAGCAGCAGCAAAGAGGTGCAGGCGTGTGGCTGCAGCACGGGGCCTGCAGGAGCTCGTCCAGGTTGCACCAGGGCTGTCCGAGAGCTGACGGGGCAGGACAGGAGGGCACGGGAGCTGCACGCACGGGGACCCGGCTGGGTGATTACTCAGAGGCACATCCTGCATCGCCGCCGAGGTCAAAGGAAGGAGGAAACTGAGCGTGTTCTCATTGCAGGAGCTCGAGATGAGGTCAGGCAGGAGTTTTAATGGGCAACCGGCTCTAGAACGAGGAGCAAACAGAGGTGATGACGCCAGTGCAATATGATTCAGACGGCAAAGGTATTTAAGAGCTTAGTTCCCAGTTGTTTTAAAGGGTGTTAGGGACCCCTGCAAGAATTACCCCCTGGCCACGGGTCTCAGTTCCTGGAGAGGGGTGGTTGTGATGAAGGTCATGCATGGCTTCAGCCAACACTTAATGATTTCCTGCAAAAAGGAGGAGTAATCCAGCTGGCACCAAATGAGCACCTTGCACCACAAGACCCACTTCCTCCACCTGCAGCACCTCGTGCCCTGGTTCGCTGTAATTTGTTCATGTGCACGTGTTGGGAAATTCTCCCCGTGGATAATTACCAGGAAAGGATAAAGGCCAGGCTGGGTACCTCCCCCAAGGCTGGATGGAGCCAGGTTTCCAAAGGCATGGCTGTGAAAATGTCACCTGAGCAAGAACTTCCAGTTTAGACCTTGTTTTCATACCAAATATGTAGCGTTTTGCCCTCCACCCATGCTGGTTACTGATTGACTCCAAGTGACCTCCACCTCTCTATTGATTTACAGTAGCTGTCAAAGGGCAAAAAATGAGCCCCATGCCCAGGATCTGAGAGCCTCTCTGAATGGAGGTTGCACAACTGAATGAATGTTCTGCCAGCTCCTTAAATCTTGGGGGGGGAAAGTCAGCTTGAGCTCCTGATCTCCAATGCAAACACAGTGGGATATGAAGATAAGGCTGCAGCACTAGAGGACATTATCTGTTAGCCAAAAAAGCTGCACAGTTTGTTTTATTCACAGCTATTTATGGCTGGGCAAACGATATGACATTCGGGCCTGAGAGTTTAGAAAGCAAATGGAAAGTCTTCCAAAGGCTGGTAGATGGGTCAGGTTCCAGACAGGAAACTCTCCAACTCTGGTGTTTTTCTTTGTGCCCATCCCTTTATCCACCTTTCTTCCCAGCCAATTTTTCCTGATGCCAGCCCAGACAGCATGTGTTGGGGGACTTCTCCAAACCTCAGGACCTGCCTGTACCAAGGACCAGCTCTTGTCCCACCTGGCAATTCCTACCCCCTCTCATGTGCCCCAGCCATGGTTAGACATGCAGGAGGGAAGGAGAAGGCTGGAGAAAAGAGAAAGAGGAAAAGATTCATCTAGAGGAGGGAGGGGGAGCATTTTTTCACCTTAAAGTGAATAGTACAACATGGTAGTTGGACTGGATTAACTGGCATAAAAAGGAACTACCATAAAGGGGTTTGTTTGTGCCTTCTCTTCCTCCTCCACTCTGCTCCTCACACCCTTGAACCAAGGGGGGGTTGTGACACGTGTAAAGGACATGGCTTCCTCTACTGCTTGGAATAAACAGAAAAACAGTAATAAATCTCTAGGATCAGAAGGTTTTCACCCAAGGGTAAAAGTACTTACATAAAACATTGCTTAACCATTAACTGCAGTAGATAACCTTTGCTTCAGTCCGAGGCAAGACCAGAGCACGGAAGGTGGCAAACACAGGGCTAATTTTAGAGGAGGGTTCCCAGGGGCTGGGTATGAAAATTCAGAGAGCCTGGCAGAAACTGTAGGAGAGGATAAAACTCACAGCTGAATGGTAAATAGGATGTGAGGAGGAGAGAGTCTGTGGACTTCAACAGAGGGAAGTGATGCTCTGTAACACTTGCTTTGAAGCAATCACGAGGACAGAGATGGCCCACCTGATAGAGGTGACTTGGATCAAGGCCTTGGAGCTCTAACTTCCTCACCCAAGGCCTTTAAAGTCATTTAGCTGTCCTGCAGGGAGAGGTGCAGGAGTCTCCTGAGCTGACAACTGGTTTAAACATCGGAAAGAAGGGTGAGACCAAAAGGTTCAGAATGAAGGGAAGTCATCAGCAATGTCCCAGGAGAGCTGTGCAAGGTGGAGATGGTCTGGAAGAAGAATAGGAGAGGTGGGTTATGAAGATTGCTCTTGAGATCAAGTTATTTAGGGCTGCAAAAACATGAGCTGACTGTGAGGAGCTGCAGGAGGGCATAGTAATACCAAGTGACCAAGGATGATAAAAAAGCAGATGAAATGTGATATGGATTAATATAGGTGAGGAGAAAGTGAGTCCTGGATGTAAACAAGCCATTCCCATTCCAGGCCTGGATGATCCACACACAGGTCTGAGCAGGGTGGCTGGTCCAGCCTGTCCCTGGTAATGCAGGCAGCCCCCTGAGCAGGATCATCCACATTTCACCTCTCAAAACAGCACCAGCAACAGTCAACTTGCAACAGTCCCATTAACAAGCCCAAAATCCTACGGACACCTTAAAATCCCAGCAGCACTGACACGTGCTCAGGCTGGACTGGTTACTGCCTTGATAAGACAGTGCTACTTGCTATTAGGAAGGAACCTTTAAAAACCATCACTTTGCAATCCCCTGCCATGGGCAGGGACACCTTCCACTAGCCCAGGTTGCTCCAAGCCCCATCCAACCTGGCCTTGAATGTTTCCAGGGATGGAACAGCCACCAGCTCCCTGGGCAGGCTGTGCCGGTGCCTCACCACCCTCACGGTACAAACAGGTTCTCCACCCACCAGCGCCCAACACAGAATTTAATCACACGAGCCACAGCCAGCTCTGCCACTCAACAGTGTCACGACCCGAGGTCTTCCTCACACGGTCGCAGCTTCCTATTTTGGCAATATTTGGAGTACGAAAGGAATTTAAAAAAAAAAAAAAAAAAAAAAAAAAGGAACCCTGTCCCTCAGCACTGACGTGACGTCAGACGGCTGGAAATGGGGACAGGAGGCTCCAGCCGCTCCCAGCGCCCGACACGAGATGGCGTTTGGCATCGCGACATCGGCGGTGGCACCGGCGTGGGGACCCGCACGCAGCCACGGCGTCCGCGTCTTAAGGAGAAGCATCCTCCACCTGCGGCTGGATTGGCCTCGCCCCAGTTAATTTAACCGTTTCGCAGACACCTGGCTGCCTAATTTATATTGATTGTTAATAAAATTATTTTTTTTTCCAAGTAGGAAGCAACAACACCCCGCCAAGCTGTTTCACTGATTTCGACCTTGTCTTGTTAGTCAAACAGGAGGAGAGATTTTAGGTTTATCAGGGGGAAAAGAGAAGATCTAGTAGGGAGTGTGATAAGGCAATCAAATCCATTTCCAGAGCTGCAGGGAAAAGCTACAATGTATAATTTATTTGAGGCTTTCTCTCTACCTGTTTGCAGATTGCACAGTTTCTAAAGATTTTAGTCCAGTTAGTCAAAATTATTCATTAATTACTTCAGTGGATAATACTTGACCTGCAGATCATCCAAAAAAAGTGAATATTGCAGTAATATTGCAATCAAATTCTCTGTTTCTGCTGTAATTTATTGTCGCTAACAGATGTGTACGACTCAGGTACATAACCCAGGATGAAACTCAAATTGTAGATTTGATTATAATATTTGCAATCCCCAATTTCTACTGGGCCAGGCAGCTCCAAAGGTCACCTCATCAGCAGGACTTACACCAAAATCTCCTCATCTGCTGGGTCTCTGATGGTGCTTTTCCCCTGAAACACCGGGAGCAGGGCGGGTGGGCATTTTGTCCTCAGCTGTCCAGCCCACATCTGTGGTTGGGATTATTTACCCACCTTTCTGCAGTTGTTACTTGCTGTTCTTTGGGTTACAGAAATACCCAAGTGCGGCAACCCCAAGCATTTAGGGATCATGAGTCACATCTCCCGACAAAACTGGCTTCAAAATCATGTTATTTCTTTTAAATAAACAAATTCCCAGGTGTTTCGGTTGTCCTTTTGGTTTGCCTTCAGATGGCAGAGCCCTGCAGCAACCACAGGTCTACACTTCCCTTTGCCACCACCAGCATTGCACAAATACTCTTTCTTTCGCTGTTCTTTGTGAATGGAAGTTTAAGGTCTCAGCCACAGGACTTCCAAAGCAGGAGCTTTCAGCGATCTCTCAGCCAGGACAAGGCTCCCGGGAGGGTCCAGAGGAGCAGTGTTGCCACCTAGGGACTCCCGAGAGCTCTAAAAGAGTTTTCTCCAAGCTGGGATGCTCTGACGCGTTTCCCTGGGGCTGTGGCTGTTTGCCTGCTCCCCGTAGGTGTCCTGGGAGGGAAGAGGGGTTTGGAGATGGTCTTTTTATCTTGGCTTTTGTCTCCCCGCGAAGTTATTAGGTCCTTGTTGCCCAGCACTGTGTGCCAGACAGAAATCCTGCCAGCAGCTGCCCCATAAAGGCTGCCACAGCCCCTCCACCACAGGCTCCAGGAACACATTCATCCCAAAATGCACCTCTACACCTGTTACTTATCGATCCAATTTTTCATGTTTAGCTACGGAAGTTTTTCAGCGGATAAAAATTGAAGGAGGATTTGCTGCTCCTACCCTGGCAGGAAGATTTACACATGAGCAAATGATTTGTAACAAACACCGTGTAAGATAGATGGAGCTGCTCCTCTTGTTCACAAATTATTCACAGACCACGGGCTTGAAGAGGAAGAAATTTTTTCCTTGCTTTGTAAAGTACACACAGATGCATTTCTGTATTATTATTTATGACAACTTTCACAGTAAAAAACACTCCTGAGAGCATCTTTGCAGAATTATTGCAGCTCACAGGTTGTTTAGTTGGCAGCCTGGACAGAGGACAGGTTTGGCTGGGTTTCTTTTTTTTTTTTTCCTTTCTCCTTTTTTTTCAGTGATTGCCTTGACCAGCAAGATTTTTGTCATGGGTTTGAGCCTCTGGGCATTACAAGGTCATATAATTGAAGTTCCTGGCCTCCACTTCTCTCACCAGCCTGCTCAAGGGAGCGTGTCACCAAACCAGCCCCTGGGTTTTGCTGGGTGAGCACAGCTCTTTAAGTCAGAGTCTGGGACAAAGACTGAGTTCTGCAAGTGGGAAAAGTGCTGCTGCTAGAACTGTTTCTGGAAAGATGGGGCGTTTCTGGAGCCTCAGGTGCCACCACAGGGGGAAGCTGCGAAAGATGGACAGGTAACCAGAAACAGGGACCAGGGACATCCTGAAGGGATCAGAGAGGTATTTCTAGGCAGAGCCTTGTGGAGTTGCTTCCATTGTATGTTTCCCATACAAAGGGCTGGATGAAACCTTCTTTCCCCAATTCCATAGCCAGAATTAAAATGCACCACCGTGTCCTTGGCAGTGCTGTGAGCAGGGGCAGATCCTCAATCCAGCTGTGCTACACTGACACACACCCCAAAAAGATATAGTTTTACCTTGAAGATCCAATGCTGCCAGGTGTTAACAAGGTCACTATTCAATCTCTGTCTTCCTGGCTCCTGTGTTCCAGATGTGTCTATGTTACGTGTTGATTGGTGCAAATCATATAACATATGTAAAACCCAGTGGCCTGTGAGCTGAGCAAACACACAATTGCTCCACAAATCCATTACTGGTAGGAGCAGATGGGTTCCTTGCTTAAATAAATGCATTTCAAACTCCTCTAGGTCTGCTTTCAAAACCACCAGTTTGTTTATATAACGTGGTGCAGCCCGGCTCCGACACCCTGTGCTCACCAAACCCTCCCTGCCCTGGAGTTCAGATGTTTCATTTCTGCATAAAGGAAATCAGAACGTGATTACAGTTTTGCAAACATAACTGAAAAATATATATATATATCTCTTTTGATTTGTAAATAGGAGCAAAGCATTGTTTACATTCAGGAACTGTTAACTGGGAGCATCCACAATACGTCACTCTGAGGCAGAGCAAAATAGACACAGAATAAAAATATCTCCAGTGACCTGGTCCTGTAAATGCTGACTAACTTTATGCTCTGGGAGCATAAAGTGCCTTGAAACAAAACGATTTTATTCATTCCTCCTGGAGCTGGCTGGAGTCAGCAAGGGAGAGGAAATAAAAAGCTGTTTTCTCTTTTTCTGCTGCTGCGTTCTCAGCTGACCAAAAAAAAAAAAAAAAAAAAAAGGTGAATGGGCTGGGGGGAAAAGCACGCTTTGTTTGCTTTGTGGGTGCTTGGGTGAGTGTTGCTCGTTCACCTGGGGGGAGCCCTTTTCTGACACGGGCCAGTTCTCGCAGCTCCCCAGACACCCCGGAGACCTTCTGCCGGAGAGGAGGAGGAGGAGGAGGAGAAGGAGGGGATGCTCACGTGGCTCATCAGCCGCCTGTGCCAAAGCGGGCTGGTGCTCCATCCCCGCTCCAGCAGTCGCGCACGGTCGCCCTCAATGGCCACCTTTGTTGGCAGCCCAGGGCAGGAGCTGCTGACGTGGCACCCGCCGTGTCACCTTGTCCTGTCCCCTGTGCCGGGCCCTCCGCCGCACGCAGGGGCTCAGGATACCTCCTCCCTGGTTTTTATCCTCGCTTTTAAGCCTTAAAAAGAAAACGAGACGGAGAAAGGAGCCCGGCAGAGCAGGGAGGAGGTGGAGGCATTTCCCCCTCGATTGGTCCTTCCTGTTTCTTCATTTCCTTATCTCCCCCCTTCCAGCCCCTTCCTCCACCTGTTGAAACGTGGCTACCGCAATGAGGGAAAAGCCGCAATTTTAACGTGTGAAGCTGTTAAAATTTTAAATAATTGCTATTAAAACAACCACCCAGAGGAAGACACCGTGTGCCCCCCTCTGCTCTGCCACCAGAGAACCCGGTGCCACTGACAGCCCTGCGCTGGCACCGCTGGGCAGACACACTCCCAGCCTGGCAAAAGTCAGTGTCTACACTTGTCACATATATTTTTAGTGCATCCTAGACCCAGCCTCGTGGGCCAGTTGCCACGGGGAAAGGCAGCTCCCAGCAAATGTTACTTCATTTCTGGAAGGACAGAGGAAAGAACAACCCCCTCAAGTGAATCCTGGCAGGAGCTGGCTGCAGGTCCCCATTTCACCAGTCCTTCAGGTTCTTCCAGTTCACGGGGACAAGGTGCACAGCAAAGGCATCTGCTCTGCAAGTGGCCTCCCAGCACCTGACCTATGTTAGTGCAAACAACACTTAGAGCAGGAAAGTGCCCACTCTCACCCTGGGCTGACTGCACTGCAAAGGGACCATCAGGGTAATTCCAGTGGGTTTTGGTGGGCTTTTGGGGTCTGTTTCTAAGAGCACCTCAAAGAATTACAAATAATAGTGACCAAATTCCAGTTTTCCTTCATTTTGTCTCAACTGGCTTGTCACTGCACTGCTGGCATGCTGTTGAGTGTTGCACATCAGTTAACATCTTCACTGTGGGCACTGCACAGGCCAGGCCATCCCCAGCAGAAAGGATTTGTGCCCCTGCCTACATCAAGTCCCACTTGACATCAGATCCTTTGAAAACATCCCCTAAAGCAGCTGTCCCGAGTTTTAGCACATTCTGACCAAGCTCAGGACACTGAAGGGACGGAAAGCAAATAAAACTTTCTCTTCTCCTGTGCTGTGGAAGGGGTGGTGCATTTCACAGGAGGATAAGGCCAGCCTTTGTGGTGCCAAAGTCCACAGCTCACCTCATCCCTGGCTGGTGGCTCCTCTACCTCTCCTCTGCTCCATCCCCATCTCATTGCTGGGGAAAGCGATACCACAGGGAGATTTTCTAAGGATAGAAGTCTGGGGATGACTAGGACATGCTTTACAACAGCAGTGATGTTGTACCCTGGGGTCACCCAGAGCTCTCAAGCAAGAAGGAAACCTCAGAGCTCCTCTGCAAGGCACAGAAATGGGGTTACACCTCGTGCTGACAGGGAACGAAGGCCCAGAGAACCCAGAGCCACTGCTGGAAGCCAGGAGCAGGCAAGCAGGTCATATGCTTCCATTCCCAGCTCTCCACAGGACAATTGGTCAAGTGGTTTTGAAAGAAAAAACAACAAAAATAAGTAAAGAAAGAAAGAACTGGCTGCAAGTTCTACTGCCTGGGCTCCCCTTTGTCTTCCAGCCTGCCTGGATAAATGTCGTTATGGGAAAGGCTGGAGATCAGATACAGCCCTCAAGTTCAGGAGCTCTAACGGGCAGTGGAAGATAAGGCTCTGGATGGAGATAACTGCAGCAGTTATATGATTAATCCCAACATCTTCAGACATTTTCCCCTCTGCCTGTAAGAGCTGTGTGATCCTAAACATCCTTAAGGGAAGCAACCCCATTCTGGCTAGCTGATGACTAACTGCTTGCAAATAACACAGACATCTTTTTACATATGACAAAAGATCAAACTATCCAAGCTGACAGTGCCCCACAGGAGTGCTCAAACCAGGCACTCCAGCACAGCTCTTTCCAAAAAGCAACTGGGAACTGGACAGGGAGAGAGCCCAGCCACAGCTCCAGCCAGAATGAGCCTTTTGTTCCAGCAAATGCAAATGTCAGGGAGAGGGAATGGGCCAGTTGCCACCCTGCAGCAATGCCCCCGGCAGCAGGGTTGGGCTGGACGGCCCCAGATCTCTCTGGAAAAGAGGCAAAGTCAAAATCCCAGCTCTCACCACTCTGGCTTTTGGAGAGAGGCACCTCAAAGTCCGTCTCGCAGGAGATCCTCATCTCTGCTTACACAGCACTCGCCTTCTGATCCCGTCAGGGAGATGTTTAAGTACATGGAGTCCATTTGTGCAGGCATCAAAAAGCCAAACTCATTGGACATCTCAGACCAAAATGTATTTCAAAATGCATCATTAGCTGTGCACTTCCCCCAGCACACGCACAGATGGAAGTTTCAGTGGTGGCTAAAGGCAGAAGTCTCCCCTGCTTGGTTAAGGTTTTCCTCCCCACGTTTACCTCTGTTGTACGTGAGCAGGGTGATCCTCCTTCCCATCCATCCTCCTTTTCTGAGGTTTGATGGGCATGGTGGGAGAGCTGAGTGAGCAGGACTCTTCTAACAGCAGCAGCAGAGGCCAAGGAAATCAGGCTGGGAAGGGCTTTGGGATGCTGTAGAGAAGTGAAAAGAGATAAAGTTGTGCTATTACTACAGCACGACTGCTTACAAGATTTTAGTCCTGTGTTGCCATTGATAATTAACTATAGATCAGCAGAGAAACATTATTCTCTACCATATGTACATGTATTTTTAGATAAATACCTTCCACAAATGCTTTGTAAAAGAAGTTTCTTTGCCTAAAGGATCTACTGCTTCCCAAGCCTCCAGTGGTACAGCATAAACCTTGTTACTAACAACAATTGTTCCTGCATTTGTTTCTGGAACACAGATCACAAAACACAGTTTATTTGGGAGTGTCTGTGTACTCTTCTATTCCTGTCCTTCTTATTCAGCCTTGTAGAGTAAAACAGGCAACTGTGAGCCTGGAGCAGGACACAGCCCTGCCCTGGAGAGATTACAGTCTCCATCAGATAATACACTGCAAATTATACATGGTGAGGCACAGACCTCAGACAAGCAGGAGGGGGAGAACAGCTTGGTTTGGGAAGGAAACTAAGAACAGCGAGTTTTAAGGAAGACCTTGAAGAGAAATCAGGAGGAGGAAACCTAGGAATTTCAAGGACTAAACAAGGTAAGAGAGGCTGTACAGTCTGCTGTGGAGATGAGAAGCAAATGCTGAATTTAACCAGGTCTTCTGGTATCTGATTTGGGCAGTAAATGACTTCAAATACTGAATTCTTAAAACCACAGAGACACCAACAAAAAAAACGAAAGACAACTTTACTGACCTCCAAAAGCTCATCACCCCCAAGTGCGTACCATCTAACGAGATGATCATCAGGTCAGCCTTGCTCCTTGGTCTCCAGTGCCACCAGCAGCTTCACTTACCTCCCACCAGCCCCTGCCACACGGCAGAGGCGAGGTGGGATGGGTGGTTCACAGACCGAGCAGCTCCACCACACGATGCCTGTGCTTCCCCCCTCCAAACTGGGCCAGTGGAGCACCTCCCACAGCAGCTCCTCGAGGCTCTGCCTTCATTTGTGGGCTCAGCAGAGCAGGAACAAGCACAGTGGTGCAGCAGAGGCGTTGGAGAGAGGACGGTGCAAGATGTAAGTGAGGCAAGGGCAGGGAGAGGGGACACCGTTTATTAGGTCAGCTGGAGCACTTGGAAAAGCTACACATGCTTTCAGGCACTTTGGGCTGCCTTGGGTCTGAAATAGAAGCAATAACCTTAGAGCTAAATACAGGTTGAGAATAATTGTTCTGAGTTAAACTTCATTATATTAATGAATTAGGCAATTTGAGAGAAAGGGTGATTGGTTCCTGTTGATCAAAGGGAGGATGCTCGCCAGAGGACAGCTGATAATGTCATTTATGGCACAAAGAGAGGGTGAGAGAGACAGGAATAATTATTGCCTAGGGATGTCTGGTGGTAGCAAAAATCATAATGTAATATGCAATCAATATCTGTGTGATTTGCTGTCCTGGAGTCAGGAATTTTAGTACTCAGATTGCCTTTTGAAGCACTTTTGGAGACCTTCCTTGCAGGCCAGGAGTGAGAGGTCAGAGCTGCAGTGGATGATTTCTTACCGAGTGTTTCTGCCCCTTATCAGTTTGCACAAGTTAATTTGAGACGTTGCCTGCAGCTGTTGCTTCCAGCCTGTCAAATCTGTCATGCAAAGTGCATGTGCAGGAGGGCACTGGTAGGTCTTGGTCCTTCTGTGTCACTTAGAAATCAGATTCCATTAAGCAGCTGTGGTTAATTGCCAGCACTTCTGAGCTCATCACTATCCCTTCGATATTGTTTCCTGTGAAGTGACAGTTCCAGGGGAACTGTGATTTCCTAAGGACCTAATTTTTCACATAAATTTAAGTTTCTTAGTGGACTTGTGGAGAAAAGCTAGAAAATTCTAAAATCTGTTTAACTCTACACCCAGAAGATAAATTAATATGGTGGGAGGTAGATTATTATTTGTGATTACCTCATAATTTTTAAAATATTCCTGGAAGACTGAATCACAATTTCTCGAGTGATTTGGTTTGGCAATACTGAAATGAGTCTTTAAGGACAGCACTGTAACAGTCTAAAGGCACAAGTGGAGAACATCCATATTTGTTACTCAAAAATGAAATAGCAATTATTCTCAACTAAAAGATGAGCTATGTCTCAAAGCAGCTAATAAATATGAGATTCAGTATGCAATATTCAAATACCTGCAAAGGAGGTAATTGCCCCAGGTGTTAATATTTTCCACAGGAGCTGGGAATTTTGCACTCTTCCACTAAATTGCAAACAGAAGTGCTGTATGTACCCAGCTAACCCGAGAGACATAGACAGACCAAAACCCCTGTGCTTCAAAAATACACTGCAGTTATCTACAACATCTGGGACTCAGCAGGGAGTTAAAGGCTCAAGTATGGGATTAAAAACATCAAAACTGCTCTTGGCCAGGCTGAAGCGATCTGTGGAAGATCCACAGTTCACAGTGTGGCCGTGGCAGAGCCCAGCAGCCCTGTCTCTGTGCTGGCACATGGGATGCTCAACGTTAGGGTCTAACAAAAATCCAAGGGGAATTTGTTTTAGTTTGTAAAATCTGTCTGCAAGTCTAATTTTGACCAGCAGCAACTTCAGTGAGTGGGCTGGTGGAAAATTTTCACATGATTTGTACTGGAGGAATATATACTTCCATATCTATAGAAACACCCACAGACATTCTTTTAGAGAATCACAATAGTCAGTGAGATCTCACTGCTCCAGAGGCCTTCTGCTCTGCTGGTGGATGAATCAGACTCCAAGTACCATGGACAATGAGGATCCAGTGCCTCAGTTTTCTATGCATGCAGTATTTCAAAATGTAAAGGTCACCTAATCCACGTTAAGTGAACTGTACCGGGGAGAAGATGCTCCAAGGCCACAGAGGCTAAAGGCAATAAAAGGAGGGAACGGCAGGTCAACCTCTGAGGATGTTCCTGTGGCACAAAGGAACTGGATGAATTCCTTATTAACAGCAAACAGCCAGTGATAGCCAGCTAATGTCTGACACTTGCCAACAGTGGGTTTCGGTGGAGACAGAGGAGGAAACAACACAGAGAAGGGCAGTGCCTTGCCCAGAGTCAGATCTAGGGTGCCTGAGTTGTCATCCTTGATACCATGTTCTTCCCTAACCTGCCACCTCTCGTTTCCATCAGCATGACTGGAAACTCCTGGGTGGTTGCATTCCTGGCCAAGGCTGCCCAAGCAGCAAATTCACCCGGGTCTGTGGCACTGTGAGCACCTAAGGCAGCCCTTCCCCAAGTTCTGACATTCGGGAGTTCTCAACACTGTGTCTTTAAAGTGAAATCAAGCCAGGCTGAGCCCATGGGGCGGAGGGAGAGGGCACCTCTTGGGGGCCGGAGCCTCGTGTGCTGAGCCTCCCATGGCACAGCAGTTCCCAGCACTGTGCAATTCAGAGCTGAGGTCAGACAGAAGTGGAGTCTGGGTGAAAAGAAGAGCAGCATGAAAGCCTGGTGCAGCTGAGCAAGTAAAAAGAGGCGGTGAACAAAGGGAGCAACACATTAGTCGGTCCTTCTGAGGGTGCTGTGGGAGGCAGAAAAGACATGGGAAAGGGTTATGGGTGTAGCAGGGAATGACTACATTCTGCCAAGGAAAGAAGGTGGGTTTCCAGGGCTGGTTTTGACTTCATGAGCCATTTGATATAAAATTCTCAGAGAAGCTCACAGGGGCACTAAAAAGTAATTAAGGCTCTACATTCCCAGAGTCCTCTTTTGTTTTATGCTGTGGGCAATCCTGAAGCCAAAGAGACAGGGGAAAGCAGTGCAATGAGCTCTGTGGCTGACAGACTGTTTAAATGTAGCAGTGTCCCAGCGCCCAGAGGAGAGGAGCTCTGATTTCAGGCCTCTGAAGTGCTAAATTACAAATGAAAACTACAGCAAGTTCCACCAGAAATTGCAGCTCTCGATACTACAGATTGTTCCTAACAAACAAAAGTTGACAGAATAAAGGATGGGGGTTGAGGGATGTCTGCACTGCACGCCAAGGTTTTTCTAAAAATATTTTACACCTGCCATTTGTTCTGCACTCTGATCATATTTTGTCTATGAGGTAGAGAACTCATAGTGCCAAAGGGAATGTGGTTTATGTTCCTGAGTCTTAATGCTTTTTCCCTTCTGTAAGGCAAAACTCCTTACTACTGTCACTAAAATAAAGCCAAGAGGACAAAAGTCACACATGCACTGCCACGGTCACAGTTTAACTGTTCCTCTCGCTGATCTTTGGAAACAGTCCCTTCAGCAGGATTTTACAGCTTTGGCACTTCGATTTAGCAAACTTTTTATGCAACTCATGAGAGGAATGCAGCCAACTCTGTACACTCAATTTAAATCAACTTGCTGATGATATAAAAAAGAGTGCTGAACCACCGGTTTGCTTCATCTGCTCCAAAACTACCAACACAAACCCTGAGGTATTTATTCCTGAAACGTTAATAGAACAGTCTGGGGCATCAGATCAGTACATGAACTCTGCTTTGATCCCATGTCAGTCCAAAGAGCTGATTTAACAACTAGTTGTTTGGTTACTTGATAGTTCAGAATGCAACTGGGCTGTTTGCTGCCACCAAGCTTTTGCACGCTGCGATGTGGTGGGAGCAGAGGGTGCAGACTGTGTAGCAAGAGATTGTAAGCAGTGTAAGCAAGGTTTAGTAGCTTTCCCATTTTGCATCATGAAGGAGGGATGATCCTTGTGTGGGTTATAGAATCACAGAATTGTTTGGGTTGGAAGGGACCTTGATAACTCACCTAGTCCAACTCCTCTGCAACGAGGAGAGACATCTTCAACTATAATGGGTGGCTCAGAGCCTTGTCCTCAGTTTGTAAAAACTCCCACAGTTGAGCTGAAGTTGGGAACTGCAAAACTGGTACCCAGGCCAGCCTGCGCCCTCTGAGTCACCCCTGTGGCAGGGACCCTTGAGAACACAGTGCAGCACTGGAGCACTGAGAACTCCACCCCTGAGCCAGCTTCCCTTTGCACAAACAACCAGATCACTTTTATTTTAGTGGCTGCTACCAGACTTCTGATCAAGAGTGAGGTCTGTCCTCTACCCACACAGCCAATCCAGCACAGACTGCAGCTGTCCACTGAACCTCTGCCCTGCCACGCCGCTGCCTCTGAGCAGGTTCACAGATCTTGGACTGCAGTTTTCAAAAGTTATCGATTTGTGCTGAATTGAGTGAGCCCTGCAGACCAAAGTGCTTTGAACCTGTGCTCGGGTGGGGACTTGGGGTGAAGTGACAGGATGCACCAGGCAGCACTGAGGGGGTCACATACTTATGGCTCTACCCTTTCCTTCGCTGTAAATTAAAGAGAAATTTCCGAGGCTTAACTTACGCTGGCAATTTTAAGGAAGTAAATTGCATGTTCACATGAGAAAATACAAAAGAACTTGCACAACTGAGTAAATGCTTCCTTTTTTGACCCTTCACTCCTTTTTAAGTCCTTCCTATCAAAGCAAGTGCCCCTCCCTGTCAGCTGAATGCTGGGGGTGTGCAAATGACCCCAGCGACTGACTCGGTGAGAACAGAACGCTGCAATGTTAACGTTTGATCTTAGAAATTCACCACCAAACTTTAGCAAAAGATAAATAACTGGGTGAAGGAGACTGAACACAAAGGAGGCACCTCTCATTTCTATAAGGAGGGAATTAAGAACATTAAAATGTTCACATTTGCATTGAGAAAACTGGAAGCTCTTCTACAGACTCATCTCCTTGCAAAGCACCAGAAGCAAACCCTGTTTGTTAAATCCTTATATGAAAAGGTGCTGCAAAAAACCAACCTTGTTTCCAGAGATTTTTTTTTCCTTGCTGCAAAGCACAGCGGCCCTTCAGACGCAGAGCTGGTTACAGCGGAACAAATCAGCCTGGGAAGAGGATAAGCTCAATGACCTTTAAGACAAATGATCTCAGTTTAAATC